GGAAGTAAAGAGAGAGGCTGGGGTCTCGCAATCTCTCCTTGCTAAACAGCCTAAGGAACTCCTAGCAGTCTTCAGGACTCAGTGTTTCTACAAGCTCCTAGGAGTACCACCTAAAAACCAAGCCTAAAACACAATGGGCCTTCTTTGGAAGACACAGCCATATCCAAACTAGAGCAACCTATCATCATGAGATGTAAAAATAGTGGAAACAATGGCAAAGCCCCCAAATTAGGTCCCAAGGTTCAAAGCAAAAACAAGTCAGCTGCCAAAGGTAAAGATGTTAAAAGACCATGGCGGCTACTGTATTGGAACTCTGAGGAAATACATTACTCTTCATGTTCAACTTAGAGCTCTGCGCCTTGTTATATTTACAGGTTGACGAACGACCTTTCCAGATGTACGTCATCTCAAAAATGTACTCATATATATCCTTACTTAGGATATCTCCAGAAGATATTCTTCAATCACAAGAGCATGAATCAAGTCAGAAGAAAACATGAGAAGGAAACATGAGGCTACAGACGAACAGATGTTGTCCGTCATGCATTGGTGCAGCAGAGAAGAGGTCAAAGCAGGGTGAAAAGAAGGAACCTTTAGATTTGAGTGAATTGAGAGAACATTTCCATAGAAGCTCTGGAAATAATTTAATGATAAGCATAGAGAAAATAAAGCCATTGCATCGAAAAAGTATTAATTTTAGGAGAAACAAATTGTTTGAACAGCGAGAAACAAAGCAAAGGTGGAGTGATGAATGCTGCCATTCAACACAGCCTCACATAGATTCAACTAGCAACACTGTGCAGGTGTGATTTCCTGCAAAAAGGAGCAGGAAAAAAATTAATATTTGAGTCAGCCTATTGCTGGTTTAAAACTTGTCTGGAGAGAGCTGGGAAATATGGTTCAGGGGTTAAAGCACTGGTTAGTCTTCCAGAAGCACCTGGTTTGATTTCCAGCACCCACACGGAAGCTCACAATGGTCTGTAACTCCAGTTTCAGGGTATCCAATACCCTCTTCTGGCCTTCCCAAGCACTGCACACATGTGGGACACATATATAAGCAGGGAAAACAATGTATACACATTAAATAAAAATACATAAATCTTTCAAACCCAACTAATAAACTAAAAACACTTGTCTCAAACTTGCAATCCTCCTGTGTCAGTCTCCCAAATGTTGGGACTTTGCTTAGGTTTAGGAATGAGGAAAATTAAATCCTCTTTTTGAAAGAAAGAAGACACTAGATTCTACCCAAGAAAGTCAGAAGGTATTCATTTCAGTGTATTTCTTGGAGGTAACCTGAGACACCAAAGCCACCAACCTGCACAGGGAGTGCTGAGCCTGAAGCACTGGTGTGCAGGCTATTTTCTGATGCTCTATTGTAATTCTATGATTTTGGTGTATACATGTAACTGATAAAATTTTAAAGTAAATTTAAAACAAACAAAACCAGAAGCATAGGTGTGCCTTAGGAACGTATTTCAACACAATAACTCTAACCCTAATTCTGAACTATGAAATAGTGTTTTGTTTATTTTTTACAACAGGGTCTCATTATATAACTTAGGCTACCTCATTTTTCTAAAGAAAAATTTTTACATTTATTTAATGTGTGTGTGTTTACACATGAATACCATGGCATATACATGGAGGGCAGCAGATAACTTGCAAGAGCCAGTTCTTTCTTTCTCCTGTGTGGGTTCTGGGGAGCAAACTCAGGTCTTTGGGATTGGCAACAAATACTCTGACCCACTGAGTTGTCTTGGTGGTCCCTAGCTGGCCTTTAATTCACAATCCTCCTGTCTCAGGCTCCCTGGTGCTGACATTATCACCATATTTTAAGAAACAGATGACACCACAGAGACAAAACATTCTTCTCCAGTGCCTTGGTGTATGTTCATCCACGCATGTGAGAACCACTCTTTCTACACGTACATACTATTAACATGGAGCAGGCTCCCTCCTGAGGGGAAAACCCCACACATTCAGCTAAAAAAAGGAAGCTGCAGAAAATAAAACAAAAGAGCACACTGCTGAGCAGGGAATTCCATTACAAAGAGGGAAAGCTGAAGGTCTATGGGACAGTAGAGGGCATGCAGAAGACAGTTAAAGAGAAAGGCAGGAGGTTAGGGAACATGGGTAGACAGGGCTAGAAGCTTGTGCACTTTCGAGAGGCCAAGGTGCAGAACTTCCTTGATTTAGAACTGGAGGTAGATTTTCCCAGTCTCAGGAGCAGTGGAGCACAGGAGAGCATGCTGTACTGTGAGTCCAAGAAAACATTTGTCAAATGCTGAGGAAGGTTTAGGTCCCAGAGAACTAGGGAGTCCTGTCACAGAACCCTCTGAAGAATAAAGCATATGTTTTCTCTCATATTGTTTAAATGCTGTGGCAAAGGGGTGACTTAGCAGACCCTGCAGCTGTCATTAATGGTCCACTTCAGTGTATTTTACATGATTACCCATGACTTGCAACTATTGTGATTTTAGCCATAGTAATTCCTCACCAGGGTTTTTCTGTACACACAGTCAGTTGAATAAAGTCTTGGCTCCGCAGGAAGAATGTTATTCCGGGGTTTCTCTTGGCTTTTTCGGTAGTCATACTTTGGCTCATACTGGTTAACATCTTTCTGGGATGTTAGAGAAAGTTTCAAATTTAGTCAGCAATGTACTTTCTAGAGTAGCACTATCCTTTATTGCCTTTAATTAGGTTCAAACACTAACTACTAAAGAACTACAAGGTTCTTTAAGCTCTCTGTTCTCTGAAAATTTCATAGATTCTTCCCTATCTAATAAAATTCAGTTTTAGCACATTTTATGTACCTTGCTTTAAACTCCCAGTCAGAGCTGCAATTGGTACTCACAGCTCCAGACATCGGTGTGGGAGTCGACTGACCATTCATAGCATTGATCACTAAGGAACTGGGCTGACAGCCCCACCCACAATAGTTCCTCTACTCCATATCAAAAATAGATGAATGAATGAATATTTAAAAGGCAACCAGAAAATGGTTTATCCTCGACTGGGGAGGTGCTCTTGAAGCCCGGAAGAATTTACCCATGTGGTAAGTTAGCCTAGACAAAGGAAAGGAGACACCAGGAGGTGCTGCTGGCCAGAGACAGGAAGTCTCCAGGGGTTACAGGAGTGTTTTCCTGAGACTGCAGAGACCTAGGGTGGAAGGTGTCCCCAAGGCCAAGTGGTGAAATGTAGGGACACCAATCATGTTGATTGCCATGAGTACTGTCTCTTCTATACTATGGACTGTGAAAGCCATTCATTGTTTCTGAATATACTGAGGCTTCTAGAACCTAAGGCAACAGAGGGTGGCTAGTCATGTTTCTATCTGGGAAAGCCAAGGAACCCCAAGAGTGAATAAAACATGCTTCCTGTTTTCAAAGAGTCTAGCCTAGCACATCAGTTTTACTAAAAGTATTTTTTTCAATAAATACTTTACATACCACATACCAAAATCATTTCCAGATGGACTAGAGACCATATGGAACACTGGAAGAAAACAGAATGAAAGCTTATTATAAAGCCGGAGAGGGAGAAGATTTTAAAGTATGAAAGCAATGGAAAAGCTATAGAAGAGATTGCCAGGATTAATTACACAGTGGAGAGGATTTCTGAACATCACAATATAAATTAAACACGGACAGTTGACTGAGAAAAGTGTTTTGTTAGAATGTGACAACAGAAAAATGAAAAAGAAATCTCATCTTGCCCAAAAAAGAGAATAAAGAAAAGTCTAGAAAAGTGGGTTTGAAATAAAGAAATGCATTTAAGAGACAATAGGAATCACAGGAAAATGTCCTCTCTCAAGTGTTTAGAGATTTGCACATTAAAAATAAGATATTTTAAAAGGCACATGCACATATTTCTCAGTGCTGATGAAGTTGTCGTAAAACAGGATCTTCCCCACATGGCTAAGTCACTACAACTTTCTGAAAACCAACTGCAGTTTGGCAGCATGTCAAGAACCCTGTAGTTTCAATACTCAGGAGGCTGAGGGAGGTAGACTGAGAGTTCAAGACCAGCCTGACTATATTGTAAAGTCCCACTTTAACAAAACGAAATTTACAGGATCCCTAAAAATGTTGTGTATTGAGTATTCAGTACATAAGCTTCAGTACATCTGTCCTGTGAAGCACTACAAAAACTTTAACTGGTGAAATATTCATCCAAAGCCGCTTTATTTTGCCAAAATAAAACAACATAAACACCCAACATGGTCCAAGTAGATCAGTTGGTTCAGAATGTGATGGTTATTATAGAAATGGCTAATTCACAAGGTAAACTGAATTGGGAAGATATTAAAATTATCTATTCAGTGTGATTATAACATATGTTTCATTATTAACTTATTTGTTTTTTTGTTTTGGTCTTGTAGTTTTGTTTGTTTTTTTTTTGTTGTTTTGTTTTTTGCTGGGTTTTTTTGGTGGTTGTAGGTGGTGGGGTTTTGTTGTTTCTGTTTGCTTTGCTTTGTTTTATTTTGTTTTGTTTTGTTTTGTTTTGTTCTGTTTGAGATAAGGTCTTTCTGTTACTTAGAGTGACCTGGAGTTCACTTTGTTGCCCAGGCTAATCTCAAACTCCAGCCTTCTGAATGCTGGAATTACTGAGCCACAAAAGCTATATAAAAACGTCTTGGTTTTAACCTAGTGACTTGTGAATGTTAACCCTTCTATCTACAGAGCTATTTCCCATCTCTTTGTTCTTTTTGTTCCTGGCAGTGCTAGTTTATAATTGTCATGGAAATTATCCTAAAAGCACCTAATAGGTGGGTGAGGAAGTCCTTGGTCCAGTGAAGGCTGGACGCCCCAGTGTGTGTGGGGGAAATCGTGGGTGGGAAGGTGGGAGTGGGAGGGGGTGGGGGCATATCTTCATAGAAGCAGAAGAAGGGGGTATGGGATAGGGGGTTCCTGGGTGGGTGGGGGAAATGGGAAAAGAGGATTACATCTGAAATGTAAATAAAATATCCAATAAAAAATTTAAAAATAAATAAATAACCTGCCCCTAGAGGCATTGCAGGTATGACTGCTGTGACACATGTGTGTCAGTAGGTGGGAGAGGGGATAGAGGCTATGTCTCTGTTCAGTGTTTTGACCTGTAAACACTGACCTATGAATGATTAGTAGCCAAAAATTCTCTGAAGACGTGAAACTGAGACAACCAGCAGTCCAGTGCTAGGCAGGCCCAGATAGACTTCAACAAAGGGGAGCAACCTGGAGACTAGAAGCACCCCTCCTGGGACTTCCAGCCCCAGGTGACAATGAGCCCAAGACAGACAACCATCATCAAAAAGGGCCACTTGAGTGGGCTGGGCAAGAATCAAGCCCAAGATGACCACCAGATTAGCACCATGAGATGACCCCTGAGAACATCTCAGACACCCAGAGGCCCTGGGCACCACTAAGAGGAGCAAGTAAGTGGTGGAAAGATGGGAGAGAAAGAGAAACAGAAGGATGTGTGCACAATGAAGAGAGGCAGAACTGGAGGTTCGAGGGTAGTGAGGAACAGCTGATGTGAATATCCAGTGATAGCACCTGGCACCATGGTGGCGTTCTGGCCTGTGCTGCCACTGGGGCCACATCTGTGTGTCTGTGGCCCTGCAGGAGCAGGGCTCTGTTACCACCAAAGGCCAGGCAGATGTCTCTGGTCTGTTCTATCACTCAGGGACATGTTCATGTCTGAAGGCTGTGCAGAATTGGCTCCACCCATTACCTGGGAATCATGGGAGAGCTGGTCCCGGGGTCATGAAAATAGACTTGGCTACAACCCTCAGCAGCTGCAATAATCGGAAGAGTGGGCTCTGTACCTCACCCGGGCAGCAGGATACCCTATTGATGAACTGCTGAAGTGCATACAGGGGCTAGTTCTGCAGATCCAAAACTACAGTATCTCTATGATACAGGCCACAACAGGATATCCAAGAGGAGTCCCAGTGAGGTTCCAGTATTGATAAAGTAGAAGTGAGAGGCCTTGTACCAGACGGGGGGTCATTGCAATGAACATTTGTAAGCAAAGAAGTGTGGACAAAAGGGTATACTGTGTGACACACTACAGCTTCCATAATGAGATTTTTTTTTCTCTGTTGGTGGGGAGGTTGCAAGAGTGGAGGGCAAGTGTGAGGGGAGTGAGGGATGAGTGGGATTGGAGTACGTGATGAAACTTACAAAGAACCAATACAGAGTTTAAAAAAATAAATGAATTTGGGGGGGGGGGAGGCAGAAGCCGGTCTGAATTCCAGTACAGCCAGGTCTATACAGAGAAGCCCTGTCTCAAAAAAACTAAAAAACAAAATAAAAAGAAACCCAAAGCTAATGATCATAATGATAATAAATAAATGAGCAAGGAATTTGCCTTCGTACAATAGTAATGAACAACCAGGAAGAGGTTTTTAAAACTAGTTTCATTTACAATAATATAAAAAAGAATATAATATTTAAAACTGAACTTGACCAAAGAAGAAAAAAATGACATGTCTGTGTTTGTTCTTCCTTTTTAGAAACAGCCTCACTCCTCATTCCCCAAAGTGAGTGTTCCCTGTTGAAAGTGTGTTCCAGTGGCTTTCAGTGTACCCAGAGTTGTGCAACCGGAATGGAACTCAGCATCAGAATATGTTTACCACACTTTCTCAGCCACCCTACTCCCTAGCCAGCACTAAGCAACCACTAACCCACTCTCTGTCTCCACAGAATTTCCTAGTTTTGACACTGCATATAATCTGATTGCATAATGTGTGACTTCCTGTGACTGGCTTATTTGACAGCTGACTCTTCCCAAAGCTCATTCCTTTTATAGCGTGCCTCAGCACTCTGCCTTCTGAATACAGCTCATTTCATCTGTTCACTGGCTGATGGGCATCAGAACTGTTTCTACTTTGAGAGATATCATGAACAATCCAGATATGACAACCCAGACAAACATTTTTATAGGAAAATGTTTTAATTTCTCTAGAGTATATAGGGCCTGAGTGATAACATTTTTAAAAATCTTTTTTTTAGACTTAAAAAAATGCTTCCAAAAGCAGTTGAATTGACTTATATTACAAGGTATATGTGCCACTGAAAAGACCAAATCTTCAGATATAATAGGCATAGAAGGAAAAGAAGAAACATTTTTCATTTTGTTTCTAAGCAGAGAAAGGAACAGAGACAGAGAGTCACCTGCAAGGCATGCATGGTAGCCAGAGGAGAACTTTTGGATATTAGTTTACTCATTCTATCATTTGGATCTCCAAGACTGAGCTCGGGTCATCAGGCTTGGCAGCAGGAACCTTTATGCACTGTTCTATCTCACCGAGCCTAAAGGCACAGAAAACATGTTTTAAAATAATTGTAACAGAAAACTTTCCAGAGTTAGCAAAAGAAATGGCAATCTAGACGAAGGACACCAATCAGACAAGATCAGAGAAAGACCCCACCCCACCTCATGTTATAATTAAAACACAAAATATACCAGAAAAATATTGTGAGCAGCAACAGAGAAACATCGAGTCACATAGAAAGGCAGGCCCATCAGAATAACAGCCGATTAATCAACTGAAACTTTAAAACCCAGGAAGCCTGGGAGGGGGTATTTCAAGTTCCACAAGATAACTGCCAACCCCAACTATGATCTCCAAAAATGTTACTGTCATAATTGAAAGAAAAATAAAAGCTTTCCATGGTAAAAATAGTCTAAAAGAATTCATGACCACTAAGTCAGTGCTACAGAAAATATTTGAAGGAATGAAGAAAAAACCCATGAGGCCACAAAAAAGAATAAACCACATAGAATAATAGTTACACAAGAGAGAAAAAGGGTGTAGAGAAACACTACAAAATCAACAAAATTGTAAGAATCAATATATAACATTCCGTTATAACACTGAATAACTAATGATCTCAGTTCTCCAATCAAAAGTCACAGACTACTAGATTGGATCAAAAGGCAGGAAACATGTATGCCCCAATTATAGGTCCACCCAACTTCATAAAACAACAAGAAGACAAAAAATAAGCCCTAGCACAAGAGGAGGGGCAACATGAATATTCACTGTCACCAACTGACAGGTCAGTCTAACAAAAAATAGAGAGATGTGTGAATCAACCGACTTCTTAACATCAAATGAGCTTGACAGATATCTACAGACCATTTTATCAAAACACTGGAGAAGAACGTATTCTTTTCCAAAATAAATCATATGCTAGAGGGAGGGAGGGAGAGACCGAGACAGAGATAGGCAGAAACAGAGACGGACAGAGACAGAAAGACAGAGATAGAGAGAGGCAGAGAGAGAGGAGAGAGAGAAGAGAGAGAGAGAGAGAGAGAGAGAGAAGAGAGAGAGAGAAGAGAGAGAGAAGAGAAAGAGAGAGGGAGAGAGAGAGAGAGAGAGAGAGAGAGAGAGAGAGAGAGAGAGAGAGCAGGAAGTTGATGGGCAGGAGGTGGAGGTAGATCTGGGAGGAGCTAGGTGGTAAATATGACAACATGCATTGTATAAAATCCGTAAAGAAATAATACAAATATAATTTTAAAAAACAAACCATATAATAGGATATAAAACATCTCAACAATTACTTCAAAATTGAAATAATTACTTGTATCTGATGACAATAGACTATGACTATAAATCAACAGCAAGAGAAACCCTAGAACATACATACATGTGGTAGTTTGAATGCAATTGGCACCTATAGACACATAGGGAGTAACACTATTAGTAGGTATGTGTCCTTGTTAGAGTAGGTGTGATCTTGTTGGAGGAAATGTGTCATGGTGGGGACAGGCTTTGAGGACTTTTATATGATCAACATATGTGTAGTGGAACGGTCTCCTGCTGCCTCCAGTTTAAGATGTAAAACTCTTGGCTCTTCCAGCACCATGTCTGCCTGGACACTGCCATGCTTCCCACCATAATGATAATGGACTAAACCTCTGAAACTGTAAGCCAGCCCCAATTAAATGTTGTTGTCTTTTATAAAAGTTGATGAGATCATGATGTCTCTTCATAGCAATAAAACCCTAACTAAGACTCACAGAGATTAAATAACCCTCAAATGAATCATGAATGAGTCCTTGAAGAAATCAAGAAGGAAAAATTTTAAATCCTAGAATCAAATGAAAATGAAATACACAACATAACAAAACTTCATGGGATTAAGCAAAAGCAGTCTTAAGAAGGGAAGGTTTAGCTCTGAGTGCTTGCACTAAGAAATCAGATTAAACAAAGAAAGAGAACTTCAGACCAATTTATCTTATGACTATTGATGCAAAACTATTCCATAAAATACTCACAAACTGAATCCAAGAACATATCAAAGACATTATCCAACATGATCAAGTAGGCTTCATTCCAGAGATGTAGGGGTGGTTCAATATACAAAAATCCATCAACACAGCCCACCATATAAACAAACTGAAAGCAAAAAGCCACATAATCATCTCACTAGATGCCGAAAAAACATCTGACAAAATTCAACACCCTTCATGATAAGTCTTGAAAAGATCAGGGATATAAAGGCAATATACAACAATATATAGCCAACATCAAATTAAATGGAGAGAAATTTAAAGCATTTGACTAAAATCGGGGACAAGACATGGACAAGGTTGTCCATGTCTCTTCAATACAGTACTTGAAGTTCTAGCCGACCAATAAGACAATGAAAGGAGGTCACGGGAATACAGATAGGAAAGGAAGAAGTCAAAGTATAACTACTTGAAGATGATATGACAGTATACATAAGTGACCCCAAAAATTCTACCAGAGAACTCCGACAGCTGATAAAAATCTTCAGCAAAGTGGTTGGATACAAAATTAACTCAAAGAAATCAGTAGCCCTCTACTCAAGTGATAAACAGGCTGAAAAAGAAGTTAGAGAAACAGTACCCTTCACAGTAGCCACAAATAACATAAAAATACCTTGGTGTAACTCTAACCAAGCAAGTCAAAGACTTGTGTGACAAGAACTTCAAGTCTCTGAAGAAAGAAATGAGGAATACATCAGAAGATAGAAAGATCTCTCTTACTCATGGATTGGTAGGATAAACACAGTGAAAATGGCCATCTTGCCAAAAGCAATCTTCAGATTCAATGAAATTACCATTAAAATTCCAACACAAAGAATTGTTCAAGAACAATTCTCAACTTCATATGGAAAAA